TAATAGTACAGCTACTTTATTGCATAGATAGGTTTAATGGATTTGTATTGATTACTTTTGTGCAATCTTGATAAAGATTACTCATAGTAAATTTGATTAAATTTCGGAGAAAGGATACTGACTTTAATTTTTCACATTAGTTTTTTTTTTTATATATATATATATATATTTTTTTTAAATAAACCTCTTTCTCAATCATCTGTCAATCAAATACTTACATTATTATTATTACTCCCGATGTTTATATGAATTAGACCTTGCTCATTTGAGCTTCTGGGCAAGCAGAGCAGAGCAGATTGAGTCGGCATTACAGAGAAGATTTCAGTAAAGTAGAGTAGAGTAAGAGGCTGTTTAGTTCACCTGATTTTAGCTGATCTGATCTGATCTGAACTTATTTTTTCTAATCCTGATCTGATCTGAACTTATTTTTTCCGATCTGATCTGATCTGAACTTATTTTTTCCGACCTGATCTGATCTGAACTTATTTTTTCCGATCTGATCTGATCTGAACTTATTTTTTCTGATCTGATCTGATCTGAACTTATTTTTTCTGAAATAAGTAAAAATAAGGTGAACTAAACAGGGCCTAACTCAAAAGAATAGGACCTTAGTCAATACAAACTTCTCTTTTTGTCTCTAACCTTTCTCTTTACCTCAAACCTCTCTTAACTAAACATCCTTTTCGCCTTACCCTAAAAAAAACAATTAATGATAAATATTTATATCTCCATCAATAATAAAGTGAATAGTGGTCCAAATTTGCTAGTAATGCTCTAAATTAATTTCTCTTTTACATACATAAGGTGGACCCTAATTAATTCCCTAAACTCGAACGTTTTATAGTAATTGATATTAGCAAGGTGGTTGAAAAGCATTCAATCAATAACATGGCGGCTATTCTAGCTATATGTGCTTCGCAACGTTTATTTGTAGCCATCTTGAAACTATCATACGAAGTATATACTTTCCAAACTTGGTGTACCTATAGTTGGTAGAATTATAACGGGTTGAGTTTGCCAAACAACTCAAAGGAGAATTACTAGTTATGTTTGCAAGTATGTTCCTTTTGACGGTTACATGCACTACTACGTACGGAATATTTTATTTCATTTCTTGATTGTTACCCCTAGGGGTGCTAATCGAGTTGAGCAGCTCATGAGCAACTCATACTCGATTCAGTCAAAACTCGGCTCGAGTTGGCTCGACTCGAATTCGACTCGACTCAACTCGAGATGTTGACGAGCACGAGTTGAGCAAAGCTCTAACTCGACTCGATAATATATTTTATTAGTATAGAATTTACAAACAAATTTATTAATATAAACAAATTTGACACTTATTAAGAGTTAATTTAATTATATTATATAAAAAAAAGAGTAAATCTTTAATAATAAATAAAATAATTACAAGAAAACTATATAAAGTGAATACAAACAATAAAGGCCTAAAATTTTAGAAGGGCCAAAATTTTAACGAGCAGATCGTGAGCTACTCGACTCAACTCGAAACTTTAACGAGCACGAGTCGAGCAGGTTTTATTGGCTCGAAACTTTAACGACTATGAGTTGAACACATGAAAAAAAGTTTTCGAGTCAAGTCAAGCACCCCTTAGCTCGTGATCGACTCATTCGATTAGCACCCTTAGTTACCCCTTACAAAGTATAACCTATTATTAACTCTAGCTCTTATACAAACCTATTATTTTCATTCACATGCTTACTTTTGCCACTTATAACCTGGGAAACGGAGTAAATATAAGCTAGGTACATGCTCTCTGTGTATGTTATTACTTGCTCCTTTTCTTCATCCGCGGAGTTTTAGAAGAAATAGTAGAAATTAATAAAATATGAAGGAAGTGGAGTTGGTAGAAGAAAAAAATATAATAGTTGGAAAGAGAGAGAATCTAAAAATATTTAAGTATGATAGTTAGGGGTCCATTAGAAGAGAAAAAATCAGTAAAATATTGTGAAAGGTTAAAAAGAAATGGAGCAAGTAATAAAATCCAACCTAAAAAAAAAATAAAAAAATAATACTAATAAAATTGAGCTTGTAATAAAAAAAACGGAGGGAGTATATATATTTAACGTGGAATTAGACCCAAAAAAAAAAAAAATAAATAAAAAATTGAGGTTAACAAACCATAGTTGACATCAATCCAATATGGACCCCCCTATAACAAATAAGTTATAAGCTATGGTATTATTTTGACTTTGAAATTGAAAGGTCCAAGTATATCAACTCCTCGGCACGTAAGTCAGCAGTCATAGGAAAGCATGGGATTTGGGGTCGTTAAGCCCATCTTTGTTTTAATCAAATTCTTTTTAGTGATCATGATTGATGACATAATAAAACTAATAAATAAAATAAAGATTGAGATTAATAGGGAACAAATGACAAATGACAAACATCAACCACACAAACAGCAAACCTAACTAATTAATCGTTAACTAAAGTGATGATCAAGTTTTAATTAAGTGATTAAATTGATTGTGTACTCTGATTCATATTGTCATATCGTGTGCACTACTATCTAATATATATACGGAGTACTTCTTATTAAACCAAAAACTTGTGTATTACAGTATTTGATTACAAAATGATTTTAATACATAATTTTATTTTATTTTTCTTTTCATTTTCTAACAAAGTCTCTGCTATTGCTACATGCTGTTTAACATGCTACCCCTAGAGGTCAAATTTTGAAATTGCATGCATGATGCTTGCAGTGTAAATTATTTGTATGTATTGTATGGAAAATAATAATTAGAATCTGATATAGAGCTACGAGTACTAATTTAGAGTGATTATTGCACTCATTTGACATTTTCAATGTAAAAAAACGAACTTTATTTTTTTTTTTTTTTAAAAAAACATCTGCATGACTGCATATAAATTGAAGTTCGTTACTAAAAAATATATATTTCGTATATGTTAACATATATGTGATGATGTGGAAAACAATATACTCCAAGAGCTACTTATACTCATCAAATATTCTCTCCGTTTTTTTTCACTTGTGTTATTTGCAATTGGAATTTTAATTTACATTTGTCATACATGCACTGATTTAATAAAAATATTTTGTGAATTATACATGATGAGATACATAGTCATGAGGTTTCAAAAAAACAAAAAAAATAAAATAAAATTACATAGTCATCACATGAGACTTGGTTAGATTAAATTATGTACCATATATTTTCCATATATTTTCAAAATATCAACTTTTAAAATAAATAAATAAATAAATAAATTTATGGTTAAAATTACGCATGCATAGATAAATGTGATTCTCCTAGCTAATTGTACAAGTGAAAAAGAACTACTCTGTAACAAAAGAAGTCAACTTGTTTGAATATAGGTTTTGTTTGTGCAACTATTATGATGTGTATGTACTACAAAATGAGAAATGAAAATTCTATTTTATTTAGTTAGGCCTTATTCTTTTGAGCTTCTGGACAAAGCAGAGTAGAGTAGGGTCAGCAGCTAGAGCAGAGCATATTTCATTTTTATTATTATTATTATTAAATATTAAATATTTATTATTATATTAAATATTTATTATTATATTAAATATCAATTATTATATTAAATATCAATTATTATTATTATTATTTAATATTTAATATTATTAAATATTAATTATTATTATTATTATTAATTATTAATTATTATTTTTAAACAAAATCGAGTAGAGCAGAACAACTCAAAAGAACAGGGCCTCAGCAGTAAATTTGCCAAGTAACTTTTGATCTAATACCAGAATTTCCATTTTCTATGTTCCCGGCAGCGTAAGCCAAGGGTGCAACAATTTTCAAGCCACCACAAAATTGAAAATAGTAAGGGGTGATTTTCATATACTAAGTATTTATCATTAAATTAGGGTGTATATAATGTTCCTTCCCTTTATGAAATAAGTGATGTTAGTTGTTATTGGGTGTAGAGAAAATTGGAGTAGTTAGAAGATCTATATATGTTAATTGTTTAAGATGATTAAATATGATTATGTATCTCGATTATTTGGTTTACTAGTTTGTTGTTCAATTTTTACTCATAACTCATAATACATATACACAAGTTATAGTCTCTAGGCCAATCAAATAGTTTGACCAAACATTTAGCAAGACTAAACCTTTTGCTTCATTTCTTCAACATTCTGAGTATCTATTTGCAACTATTTTATTTTTTAAGAATTTCTTTCTTTCAAAATTTTTTATTGAATTTTGTTTAACTAAACTTGGTTAGAAGCAATGAAACATGTTAAATCGATTTTACCAAAATTAGCACATGTGCAAGCCTTTTTCCTCAATTTATAATTAGTTTGGTTTTAGAATTTAAGGGTCAATAAGTTTATTTTTAAGGTGGCAATAAAATTAGGCAAAGATATTACTCCATGTTATTGAGTTATGTGACATATAAACATAGTTACGTTATTTGAAAAAAAATTACAATATATTATAATTTCTTGGGCAACAGGAAATACAAATTACAAAGCTGCAAGTAGAAGATCTAAATCCACCAATAAACTCATGCCACAAGTTTAAAGGCATCCTCAATTACAATAGTAACTTTAGACTTCACCTCCAATTCTTCCTTAAAGTCACATTACATAACCAAAAAATAAAAAAAGAAAAGTTTCTAGAATGAAACGTTCTAGAAAATTTTGAATTTTCCATAATATTCTTCTTTGATTGTTTTTATTTTCACCCTTCTTGTGCCCTCTTTCAAACACTTATCTTCAAGGTAATTGCTTATTCAAACTATACCCATAAAGTCTTGACATACGAGTAATTGATACGATTATTGTAAAAACATACATACGATAATTGTACAACTATTTATGGTCTCCTATAACATAGATTATCACTCCTAAAAACAAGAGGTTGAATAAGTAAATGTAATTATATAACTTTTTTTTTTGAAGAAAAACCATATAACTCGTACGTGTATATATTTATAGTTTTATATGTTTGTAAAATAATTAAAAAATTTCAATAATAATAATAATAATTAAAAAAAAAAAGCAGGAAAAAAAAAATCGAGGAAATTTCGTAGCCAGTCACTGAACGTTTCTATGTGCACATTCTCTCTCCTCCGACCCTTTTATTTTAATCATCAAAAAGCCCTTTAAAAAGTCCGAACCAGAATCTAAAAACTAAAACAAATTTTATATTAAGATCAAAAACTTTGAGCTTTTTTCTAATACCATCAATTTTTACCCACCAAAAACAAATAAACCTGCCATTTTTATATAAACTTGTTAAGATCCATCATAATTATTCACTAATTTCTTGATTTGTAAATCACTAATACCCTCTTGATTATTATTATTGTTACTAAAAAGGGAAGCTAAAAGTTTATCAATGGAGCCAAAGATTATTAAGGGAGAAGGTGGTTATGTTCTTGATGACGTTCCTCATTTTTCTGATTATCTCTCAAATCTCCCTGTAAATTTCTCATTCTCTCCTTTTTAATTTTAATTTTTTTGTTGATTTTTATGATTTTATTGTATGTTTGATGTTATGTTAGTTTGATTTTTACTATGTATTTTGATATTATAAGCTTGATAATATTTGATTTCAGATGTTTGTGATTCTGGGTTTTTTTCCCAGAAATTTGGAGTATGCTTTGAATTTTAATTGATTATGATTGGTTTGATTGTTTTTCAGACGTATCCAAACCCGTTACAAAACAATCCTTCATATTCAGTAACCAAGTAAGGCAACACTTTTTTTCTTTTGCTGTTAATTTTTTTTTTTTGTATAGAGAAGATTTGGACGAGGTAATAATGTAGACGAGATTTGATCCGAGTTTTTAATGACACCATGAACATTTTTTCTGACAAAGCTCGTTGACAGCCATATGACACCCACTTGTTTTCTAATCTAATAATTGATGATCATGGTTTAGAAAATAGAAATGGAATGAATTAGCATGGGTATATAATTTTGACTTGTCACTTTTTCTTTATGATTCTAATTGAACTTTGATTTTTCCACTCTCCTATTTCAGGCAATATTTTGTGGATTTTGATGATACGGTTGTTCAAAAGGTTAGTCTTTTCTCAGCCTATGACTTTCTGTAAAAGGCTGTTAGTTTTGATGTTCTGGACTCTTCATAACTGCCAGTTTTCTGGAAGTATATGCATTTATTTTGTACTGTAAGGCTGGCAATTAGTGTAGGAGCGGCCATGTTTGTCTTTGGTACTCGTGTCGATTTTGGGTTGTTGACAAACTTCTTTAGTTCCTTATTGTTGCCCCATATTTCATTTGAGGCCGTCCCTGAATGATTGCCCCATTTCTTTTTGATCATGAAGGTCGCAATTTTACTCATATGCAATACATTTTGCCCCACCACTCTTGGGGGGAACACAGTTTGGGATAGAGTAGTACTGCATAAACACAGGATGGGTGTGTATAATATTACCAATGGACAAAATTGGATATGGCTTGGGATGGGTTGTCGTGTCTGGTCAAGGATTGCCACTACTTCAAATGATAAATGAAAGAGTTTGAGTAGCAAAGGGTTTTAATTACACAAATTTGTATATATGAATGTAGAGTTGTGTTTTTAGGAAACCGAGACTGAGGTGAGTATGTTTTCTGATTTCACAGGCTGTTCAACATAAAGATGGTCCGAGGGGTATACATTTTCGACGACAAGGTCCTCGTCAAAAGGTAATTACTTTATTAATTTGCTTGGTTTTGAGAAGTATAATAGGATATTATATATGGTATAGGATTATTGAAGTTGGATACTAACCTTTATGCCATAAATCATGGTTTAGGTGTATTTTAAGCCGGATGAAGTTACAGCATGTATTGTTACATGCGGAGGGCTATGTCCTGGGCTTAACACTGTGATCAGGGAATTAGTTTGTGGCTTAGATTACATGTATGGTGTTAAAAATATCCTGGGAATTGAGGTATGTTCGCATGCTTTATGACAAGAACAATTGTTTTTCTCTACTAGATTTTGGTATGAGCTTATAATTTTCTGATGGATTGACTAAAATCTGGTTTATGTTTGGATATGTAGTGTGGCTACAAAGGGTTCTATGCTCGGAATACACTCCCACTAACACCGAAGACTGTTGACAGCATCCACAAACGGGGTGGAACAATCCTTGGCACATCAAGAGGTGGCTATGTCACTTCCAAAATTGTGGACAGCATTCAGGACAGGGGAATTAATCAGGTATTGTCAGGTTACTGTGTTGTGCTCTGGAAATTGTGTGACAGTTTCATCTAGGCATATAACGTTGTCCATGTTATGTGATTAGGTGTATATAATTGGAGGGGATGGAACTCAAAAGGGTGCATCAGTAATATATCAGGTACTTAGTTTGAGAAACTAATTTTATACTCATGCATGCTAAGCTAGGATTGTATCACTTATTACTTTTGTTTTTCCATATCAGGAAGTAAGAAAACGAGGCCTTAAGGTTGCAGTTGTGGGAATTCCGAAAACAATTGACAATGACATTCCGGTATACCTTATTCATTCTCAATTTTCTCATTGGCATCTTTCCTAAACAATTCAGATGTTGTTCTTGTGAAACTGCTTGTTCTGATAGCAGTTTTGTATACTTTCTCTAGATCATTGACAAATCTTTTGGATTTGACACTGCTGTGGAGGAGGCACAACGTGCTATAAATGCAGCACACACTGAAGCTGAAAGTGTTGAAAATGGGATTGGTCTTGTTAAGTTGATGGGTCGTGACAGTGGTAAGCATAAAAGTTTGGCCAAACAATTCTCATCCACCAAAATTTTGAGAAAAGACTATGAAATCATGAAGTTAATTCCCTTTTCCTTTGAGTAGCACAAAGAAATTGATCTAATGACATATAATTCATCCTGCAGGGTTCATTGCAATGTTTGCAACCCTTGCTAGCCGAGATGTTGACTGTTGCTTGATTCCGGAATCACCCTTCTATCTCGAAGGGCAAGGCGGACTCTATGAGTTCATTGGGAGACGACTTAGAGAAAATGGCCACATGGTTATAGTCATAGCTGAAGGAGCAGGCGAGAAGGTAGAAGAAAGAGACCCTTCTGGAAATAAGGCTTTTAAAGATGTTGGTCTCTGGTTGTCTCACATGATCAAGGTATGAATTTCCACTTATACTCTATCGAAGTCAATGATGTATTTATCTACTCAAGCTAACTAGATTTTATTTTTCTTTAACAGGAACACTTTGCTCAGACAAAATTAAACATAACTCTTAAATACATAGGTTAGTTTTGTATTTTTGTTTCCTTCAGCACTTTTGTGTTGCTAATATACCCAGTTCTAGACTGCTAGGCTTTAAATTTATAAGCAACTGATTAAGATTCTCTGATTCCGTGATATTTGCAATCAGATCCTACATATATGATCCGAGCTGTTCCTGCTAACGCATCAGACAACGTGTACTGTACAATTCTTGCCCAAAGCGCGATTCATGGGGCTATGGCGGGTTACACAGGTTGTACTGTTGGGCCAGTCAATGGCAGGCAATGTTACATACCTTTCTATGTAAGTTTCTCTTATTTGAAGTAATCTTCCAGAATGATATTGTTTTTTCCTTTACATTTAATTATAGAAGGGCAAATACACATCACTGAGAGTGGATTAAGTAGTTTGGGAGGTATGAAGGGGCATATTTTGCTATGTCCTGAATAATTAGGGGGCATATTTGGGAAGATAATAGAATTAGAGTGGATACTTCCTCTCAATAATACTCGTGGTATAGAGTACTTATCTAATCTCTCTCTGATAATTGCAGCGAATTATCGAGAAACCAAACAAGGTTGTGATAACAGATAGAATGTGGGCTAGGCTTTTGTCTTCAACCAATCAGCCGAGCTTTATGAATCCTCCCAAGGGCGCAGTTGTTGCAGGAAATAAGGACGAGATACTACTATCAAAGTCTTCTGCTGAAGAATCAAATGAGAACGATCAAAAGTGTACACCATCACCAACCTCGTCATCAATCCTTGATAATCATGTCAATGATCAGCATTCGTTGAACAACGGATCTACTCATCCGATGCTAGAGTAAAATAGTTTCAATATTTTTTTGAGATTCTGAAAACTTCCGCTGTTTTAAAGGAACAGAGGAGATGCATAATAATCAGTCACCTTGGATTCGTCTTACATTAGTGTTTGTCTAATAGTAGGGGATCGGATGCCACAAAATTGTTAACAACTAGTTATTTGTGCCTTTTGTAAAAATTGAAGAGTGAATTGATCATGTATTTATATGTGGAATATAATCTATGCCAAATACATTGTGTTGTAGATGTAGAAAGCTCGAAGTTCCTTAATCATCTTGTCTTTAGGTCGAGTACAAACTTTCATGTGTATCCAAGAATAAGGTGGCAATTGTTAAATTCAATAGTACTAGTATTATTTTACATTTTTGTTGGAAGTGGTAAATAATAATAGCCGGGCCTAGCCCACCTGAATTTGGGTCCGAACATCCTGGCTGGTTTGACCTGTAACCGGTATTTCTGGCTAAAAGCCCGTATTTGGCCCGAGCTGGCCCTGTGATCAGCTCTATTTTTTGGCCATCTTGAAGCTAATTGAAGAAAAAACAAACTTGAACATGTAGACATGTAGACGTAGTCATCTACATTCAGAGTTCCAGAAAATACTCCTATAGGCACGTAATACTAACAAGAAATGGTCAATATGCCAGCAAAGACAAATTGGAGAAGAAAGAAAGTAACCAATTATAAACGAAATTTTATGGTCCCCAAAAATCAAACACGAGCTATATTACTTGCAAATTTTTTTCCATTAAAGAACCAGGAGGAAGTTGTAACGTGTAACAGTTAGATTGCATAGGAGGGCAAATGAAAATGATTAGCGTTATGAACAATGTCACAAAGTCACATGGGTGGAAGGAGGTCCTCCAATCAACTAAGTCAACCTTAATTCTTGTATACGTTTTTAATTAGTAGATGCAGTACTTCGTATAAACAAAACTAGTTTTAAACCCGTGCAATGCACAGCTGTCTAATATATTATAATTTTTTTTTTTTTTTGTATTTGATCGTATAGTGATTTATTGATCTAAAAACTTTCATAAATTTTAAGAAATTCAACAACACCATTAAAACATTTATCCCCAAAAATACTCATATATGAAACCGAATTTCATTAAATCAGAAAAGATGTAAATTTTTACCAAAAAATCTTAATATTTGTAAGCGAATTTCATAAAAAGAGAAAAGATGTACATTGCAAAGAAAAAGGATAATCAAATGATCACAACAATTCTGCCTAATACTCACAATTTTTGACGGAATTTATGACAATTGGATACGAAACTTGTGACAATTGAAGATGGAAAATAAATTAACTTCTTCTCAACATCCCACAAACAGATTAGTCGTCACTTGTTAGATACCATAAACCCAATTTTTGTCATGCAAATAAACAAAAATCTGACCAAATCAGCCAAAACAATCCTACAAACTTGATGACCCAGAAGTTCTTAAAACACAGAAAAAAGAAACATCAATTAACAACGATAGACAATGAGAGTGAGAAAATATAAATTCTGAAAAAATCAAAGAAATAATTCATGGTATCACAAATCTATACAAATAAATTCACCAGTGCAACCTGATTTCAGATCTGAAATAAAAAATTTAAACTGGTAAAAATACAAACCTTGCATGTGTATTGTGATATAAATAGGAGAGGGGAATGTGGAACTGACTATTAAAGGAACAAATTTTAGAAACAAATGAAGAACAATGATAAGAGGAAAAGAAATAACGGGTTTAAAAGGAAAAAAATTGAAACGCTTTACCCTGATGGTTTTTTTTTTTATTTGGAAAGGACGCTTCAATAAAATTAATAGGGCTTAAATTTTTATAAATAAAAAAAAAAAGGTCAGAAAAGGACAACTCTGAGATTAGGTTTTTTTTTTTAAATTTTTTTTAATCAGAAAAAACAAGAAGTGGACACGTGTCCTTCCAACTTCCTGTTTTAAAATAATAGTATAGATTTAAGACATGCTATCACGAATTTAGTCAATTTACGCTACATGGTACATTGATAGCTTTAGTCACTTAATGACGGCACTTTGATTTTATTTATCCCTTTACATATAAAAATAGTAACCTAATAAGAATTGAAGACATTTTCTCTTATTAAAGGTGTTAAGGATTAACCATCTGATAATTTTTTACTAAACCCCCCTTGAAAGAGAGGGAACCCTACCTTGAGAGAGAGGAAAACCTACCTTGCGAGAGAGGAAAATCCACTGCGATAACAATATTGCGGTCTCTGAGATTGATGGCTAATGATCTAATCAACCAGTGTGCGTTGCTTAATATAAATGCAGAGGAGGAGGATGTTATTGACGTTGGAGGGATAGAAACGAATGGAGAAGAAATTAGGGTTTCGCTGATGTTAATTGGAAGGCGGTTAAATTGACAGAGGCATTAATGTAGAAGCTTTCAAACGCACTATCACCCAATCTTGGGCGTTGAAAGAGCGAGTTATTATCCGCTGTATTGGAGTAAACCTCTATGCGTTCCAATTTCTTCATTGGAAGGATAAAGAGAGAGTGATGACAGGTAGACCCTGGTGATTTGAGCATAACCTGCTAATACTCAATGAGATTACTGGAGGTGAGCAGCCACGCAATGTGAACTTGAACTTTTCACCATTCTGGGTGAGAATTGAGGACTTGCCGTTTAATTGTCGTACCAATAACCATGTTCAGTTAATAGCATCAAAATTGGGCGATGTAATTGAGATTGAAGAAGAATCGGTAGCCATATGCAAAAGCCGACGAGTGAAGGTCATGCTGGATGTACGAAAACCCCTGAAGAGATATCAGACATTACGAACGAAAGAAGGTAATGTCATAAAAATAAATCTAAAGTATGAAAGACTGCCGTTCTTTTGTTTCTCGTGTGGGACAATGGGGCATAGTGAGAGAGATTTCCTAGTGGTGGCGGATGATTCGAATGAGCAAGGCCATGGGTGGGGAGCTTGGTTGAAGGCATCACCGATGAAAGGTAAAAACCAGGAGGGGATGGAAGTGAGGGAGCTGATAACGGGAAAGAGATTGAATTTCACCTCGAAGACTGAAGCAGCATATAAGCCAGAGACAGTCACCTTTCATCATAGAAAGGAGAAAGGTTTGGTGGAGAAGGAGGGAGATGTGCACTTAATAGAAGGACAATGTAGAGGACAGTCCAGTAGGAGGGATGGGGAGGTGGGTACAGAGGAGTGTGAGGAGGCGGGAACAGAGGAACGTGAGGAGGTCGGAGATGGAAACATGAACACAATTAGCGTGAGAAGGACAAAAACTTGTGTTATACGGGAAGAGGTAGTGCAGGAGGATATGAAGGTCATAGAAATGGAGGGGAAAAGGGGTGTAGGAGAAGAAGGGGGGGTATGGTTGGGAAATTGCATGTGAAGAAACAGGGAGGTAGTATTGAAATAAGTTAGGGGGGATACATGGGGTTATTATCGAACAGTATGCATGAAATTGATGAAGTTAATAACCCAAAGGGGGTCCCTCCTCAATTCAATATGGGAAAAATGACAGGGGAACGGAGGAAAATAACGAGTGTAAAAAAGAGAGGCACAGCAAAGAACACTCAAAAGCTTCAGTTAAGGTGTAACAATGACACCCCTACTAGGAGCAAAGATGAACCTCTTATGAAAGAAATAATGGGTGAAAAGAGGAAAGCCCCGGATGAGATGGAAATGGATGGAGGAGACGCTGTAATGGATGAGTTCGTAAAGAAAAAGAGTAAGACACAACAATGTACGATGATGGACGTACCAACTGAGAAAGTAGCGGTGGTGGGTAAAAGCCCATCCCGCGACCAACAATGAAAATACTCAGTTGGAACTGCCGAGGGCTTGGCAACCCTCGAATAGTGAGCTCTCTCCGGGAGTGGTGTTGGAGAGAAATGCCAAACTTGGTTTTTGTAATGGAAACCAAGATCGATGACATGAAATTAGAGGGAGCAAGAAGAAAATGTGGATATGTGGAGGGATTTGGGGTAAGTAGTATGGGGTTGTCAGGTGGATTAGGGATGTGGTGGAGAGATATTAAAGTACGAGTGGTGTCTTACTCAGCTAATCATGTTGCGGTGGATGTGTTGGATGATAATGATGAAGTGAAGTGGAGGGCAATAGGCATTAATGGGTGGCCGGAAAGCACCAACAAGCACAAAACGTGGCTGTTAATGAAGAACTTGAGGCAAGATTGTCCAGACTGGGTCATATTTTTTGGTGATTTTAATGAGATCCTCAGCGATGATGAAAAGACGGGAGGTGTACAGAGAAGTGAACGAAGTATGGATGGTTTTCGAGAAGCTATTGATAGCACTGCAGTCCGAGATTTACAATACAAAGGAAATAAGTATACTTGGCAACGTGGACTGTCCCAAGATACTCTTGTTCAAGAGCGGCTTGATAGGTTTCTAGCAAGCAACTCGTGGTGTAATATATTCCTTGCCCATGGTGTAATTCACCTCCCGATTAGAGTTCAGAGGTCGGATCATGCGCCTATATTACTGAAAGCTGGACATCGTGAGGAAAACAGGAGGAGAAAGAGGTTGTTCAGGTTTGAGGCAATGTGGCTGTCAAACCCGGAATGTGAGAAAGTGGTGAAAGCTGCGTGGAATGATGCTACTATTGGCCATACTACGGCTAAGGTCGCCTCTTGTGCACATGAGTTGGGCAAGTGGGCTGTTTACACCTTTGGTAGTATACCAAAGAAAATCCGAGAGGTAGAAGAGAAACTCAAGATAATCCAGGTGGGTGCAATGGATAATGTAAGGCTAGCTAAATGTCGGGAATTATCAGAGGAGATTGACAATCTTCATCTACTTGTGGAGTCTTATTGGCATGCCAAAGCTAGGAAAAATGAATTACGTGATGGGGATAAAAATACTTCTTATTTTCATCATAAAGCTAGTGCGAGAAGAGCAAAGAATTCGATAAGGGGCATTGAGAATCAGGATGGGAGATGGGTTCAAGATGAACAAAGCATTAATAATATGATAATAGACTATTTTTCCAAGCTATTCACTTCTGACGACACAACGGGATTGCAGGAAGCTTTAGGCGGTATTAGCCCGGTCATTACAACAACAATCAATGAAGAATTGTTTAAAGAGCCGTCTAGGGAGGAGATTGAAATGGCCCTGTTTGATATGCACCCAAATAAGGCACCCGGGATTGATGGTATGCATGCTCTTTTTTACCAGAAATTTTGGCATATAGTTAAAAATGATATTGTGAATTACGTTATTAATTGGTGGCACGGTTTTGTGGACATTTCGGAAGTAAGTAAAACATGTATTGTACTAATTCCAAAATGTAATGATCCAAAAAATATTACCGAGTATAGACCAATTAGTTTGTGTAACGTTT